TATTTAATGGATATAAACTAAAAGGAACTGAAAGAGCACTAACAAAAAAAGGGAGTTTGTTGGCAAATACAAAAAAAAAAAAAATATGTAACAAGCAGGTGAGTTTCGCAACTTTGTTTAGTTTAACAACAAACAATAACACTCTGGCAACTTTGTATACAAAATTGTTTATGTTTGTTTACACAAACTCCCTATTTTATTATTTATTTACATACTCTAGACTACACTTCACACTCACACGTCTTTTACTATTTGTTTAGCTGTAGCCATGTCAAGGTTATTGTACTTTATGTTTTTTACATACATGTTTACATCATACATCTTTAATTGTTTATATGTTTACACAAATCCCTACACATATGTAAACAACTCTCTATCTCTTCATACTCACTCTCTTTTTTTTACGTTTTGCTCACCTTTCCCCACCGTTACTTCTATTGTATACCTTTAAAAACCCTTTTCTTGTTATTTGTTTTGCATTGCATGTTGTTGCTGCATAAATAAATGAAAACCGACAAGAACAATAATAACAAGGAGTAGAGGTAGTAGAGTACTTAGTCTAAAAACAAGAGTAAAAACATTGACTCACTTGTTTTTGTTTTGCTTCCTTTATGCTTTTTAAAAAGCATGTATGCATTTTTAGCTTAAAGTGTTGCCATATTGTTATAAATATTTAATAAGGGCTTTTTGTTGTTGGAAGAAAAGTAGAAAAAAAACTTATTATGATTATAACAACAAAAATAATACAAATAAAAGCAATTGCCCCACCTTTATAAAACACCAACAACAAAACAATGAAATTAAAATTAAACAATGTCTGGTCGGAAATAAAAATAACAACAGTAAAGACCTTTAAAAAGGAACAAAAAAATGAAATATTTCACTTTAAAATAAATTTTTAAAAAATACTATTTTTTATTAAAATTCAAAATTTTTTCATCATAATTCTTCATCTAAGATCTATAGTCAAGTCTATAGACTGACCTACAGTCAAGACTTTAGACTGATCTATAGTCAAGACTATAAACTGATCTATAGTCAAGGCTAGAGACTGATCTATAGTCAATACTGTAGACTGATTCATAGTCAATACTATAGACTGATTTAGTGGCCTCCGGTAGGGTAGTGGTTAGTTTTCTAGTCTGGTAGACCGGAGGTGGTGGGTTCGATTCCCACCTGAGGCACTGGTTAAGGAGCGCACAACAGGCCCAATAGAAGCCTAGGTGTATTTCTTCGGATTGGTGTATATACATCCTCCTTTCAAACTTATTAACTAACTAACTATAGAGTGATCTATAGTCATAACTATAGACTGATCTATAGTCAAGACTATAGACTGATATGTAGTCAAGACTATAGAGTGATCTATAGTCATGACTGAGTACATAGTCATGACTATATACTGATCTATAGTCAAAACTATAGACTGATCTATAGTCAAGACTATAAACTGATCTATAGTCACAACTATAGACTGATCTATAGTCACAACTATAGACTGATCTATAGTCAAGACTATAGACTGATCTACAGTTAAGACTATAGACTGATCTATAGTCAAGGCTATAGACTGATCTATAGTCAAGACTATTTACTGATCTATAGTCAAAACTATAGACTGATCTATAGTCAAGACTATAGACTGATCTACAGTTAAGACTATAGACTGATCTATAGTCAAGACTATAGACTGATATATAGTCAAGACTGATCTATAGCCGAGACCATAGACTGATCTATAGCCGAGACCATAGACTGATCTATAGCCGAGACCATAGACTGATCTATTGTTAAGACTATAGACTGATCTATAGTCAAGACTATAGACTGATCTATAGTCAAGACTACAGACTGATCTATAGTCAAGACTATAGACTGATCTATAGTCAAAGCTATAGACCGATCTATAGTCAAGACTATAGACCGATCTATGGTCAAGACTATAGGCTGATCTATAGTGAAGATAATAGAGTGCTTATCCGTAAAACGTTTTCCTCCATTCTTTAAGATTTTACTGTCAAAACCTGTAGTATGTACCCTTGTTATAGTTTATCATAAATGTCAGAAAACCTGGTCGTGAAAGAAACAACAAATGTCGCCATTCAACATATTTAATGAGCACCAACCTACTCATTAAGTATTACAACATTTACACATATTCATACATATTATTTTTTTTTTTGCATAAACATTTGTACATTCAGGCAATTGTGCTCCAATTGCAGTCAGTCCTACAATTTTTTTTACAATACACAAACATCAGGCAAACAAAACTGAGAGTTATTATTCAAACAAAACTCTTACCCAGTTGTATGAGCAGCAATACTTGCAATGTTGCATGTACTCATTGCTTTTTAAAAATTCGGCGTCAAGTCTGCTTGGGGAGTATTTTTAATTCCCACAACAACACATTGTTAATGCCACAACCATCATGCAATATTAATATTTTTTTTTTACTAATAATAAAAATTATTGAATGAAGCGTAAAACCAGCAAACATAATGCAACTCATTTGCCACAAAAAATATGTAAAAGCCATAACGATAAATGTATTGCAAACATCAGCTACAATATTTTGTGGCACATATAATAATCATCCAAAACTGCCATAAACAACATGCTGTTACTTCGGACTTTGCCAATTTTTTTTTCTTTTGCTTCGATTACACATCATTCATTCACCCAATCACTCACCTCACACACTCATTTGCTCTTGGGCTCATTCCTTTACTGCTGTTTGCTAGAGAATATTTTGCTCATAATTTCTTGTTAAAATGTTTTGTTTTGCTGTTGTTGTTGTTTTTTGTATGAAGTATGACGTAAGTTAGATTCTGTTTGCCTCCAGCAATAGGGAAAGGTTAATGAACCACTCTGTCTGCAAGTGTATGGTGTTTTGTAGATGTGTAACATTTAGCTTTAAGAAGGAGGGGTAGAAGGTAGGGAAATATTAAAAATTTTGTAAGGAAATATGAACCAGTGAGAATTTTTTATAAGGAAACTTTAAAAGGATTCTAGAGAAAAACTCAAAAAGGATTAAAATTTTGTATAATAATATTTAAAACGGATACATTTTTCGCACGAAATCCTATAATGGATAAAATTTTCTACAAGATAACTTCTAACGGATATATTTTTTTAAGGAAACACTTCAAACAGATAATTATCCGGATAAATTTTTCTTAAAATAACAGAACTAGAACAGAACAAGAACAAAACTAGATCAGAACTAGAACAGAACTAGAACAGAACTAGAACAAAACTAGAACTGAACTAGAAAAGAACTAGAACTGAACTAGAACAGAACTAGAACAGAACTAGAAAAGAACTAGAACTGAACTAGAACAGAACTAGAACAGAACTAGAACAGAACTAGAACAGAACTAGAACAGAACTAGAACAGAACTAGAACAGAACTAGAACAGAACTAGAACAGAACTAGAACAGAACTGGAACAGAACTAGAACAGAACTAGAACAGAACTAGAACAGAACTAGAACAGAACTAGAATAGAACTAGAAGAGAACTAGAACAGAACTAGAACAGAACTAGAACATAACTAGAACAGAACTAGAACAGAACTAGAACAGAACTAGAACAGAACTAGAACAGAACTAGAACAGAACTAGAACAGAACAGAACTAGAACAGAACTAGAACAGAACTAGAATAGAACTAGAACAGAACTAGAACAGAACTAGAACAGAACTAGAACAGAACTAGAACAGAACTAGAACAGAACTAGAACAGAACTAGAACAGAACTAGAACAGAACTAGAACAGAACTAGAACAGAACTAGAACAGAACTAGAACAGAACTAGAACAGAACTAGAACAGAACTAGAACAGAACTAGAACAGAACTAGAACAGAACTAGAACAGAACTAGAACAGAACTAGAACAGAACTAGAACAGAACTAGAACAGAACTAGAACAGAACTAGAACAGAACTAGAGCAGAACTAGAATAGAACCAGAACAAGAACTAGATCCGGATAGTGTTTTCCATAGAAAAACTTTATACTTATAATTTTTTCTATAGGATAATGTTTTCTATAGACAAAAAAAATACGGATAATGTTTTCTATAAAAGCTTAACCCGGATAACACTTTTTATAGAAAAACTTTATCTGGATAAATTTTTAAAAGGTTTTCTATGAAAAAAATTATATCCGGACAATTTTTTTATCAATATGCGTTACCCGGATATACGGATAAATTTATTTTAAATTTGTTGGTTATGTACATAAGCTTTTTTCTCTTATTTCTATTTAATATATTTTTAATATAATTTGATTTTATTTTTTAAATCTAACGATTATCTTTATTAAACATACCGGCAACTCTGAGTATTTCTATAAACTGTCAAGTTGGCAGACAAATGAAACGTATAGAAATAGACAGCAACAACAATATAAAGAATAAGAAAAATGTTTGTCTGAGCAATAACATACCAGGTAGCCAGCCACACAAACAGCCAAACACAGTCAATTGATACTGAAACAATCTGACAGACTGACTCTTTGCCAGACAACCATATAACAGCAGCAGTATGCATACAAACCAAATTTAGAGATAAGAAGAAAAAAGTATAAAAATAAACAGCAAAAACACGAACGTTGTATTCAACGGCAAAAATACAAAAACAAATAACAACCGACAGAGCTGGCGTTGTATGTTTGTATGTACAGTTGCTATTGTATGCATACAACAGCCAACGATGAAAGAAAAAACCTAAAACAACAAAACTACATAACGACAAAAACGAAAACAAAGAGATACATACACAAACTGAGAATATAAACATACAAATTATTTTGTAAACAGAGAGCGAAAGACAGACAGCAGAAATCAAACGTAAATAGATTTTGCCGGCTTTATAATAAGAAAGAAAGAGACAAATGTAGGTGATATAAATAATATTAAAATTACTTCTCATTTGTTGGCTCATTTACTCTATGCGTATGCTCATACATTAACAGTTAGTCGGCCAGACATCGTTTGTCATTATTTTGTGTAGTGTGTATTAAAGAACCAACGGCCTCGTAACGAAAAAAGTGACGCATAACTAAAAAGAATTTGCAATAAATCTATTTTCTTAAGAATTTGTGTAAAAATAGAAAAAATAAATTAAAAAGAAATAGAAAATGAATAATTTTACTTTGGAACGTAATACGTATCGTCGAAAATTGATAATGCTAGTGAAGCAGCATCCCATATTGTGGAATAAAACTCAAGAAAATTATAATCGCAATCGACCACAGAAAATAATGGCCTGGCATCAAATTTCCGAACAGCTGGACATATCGGGTAAGTGGAAGAAGAAAATAAAAAAAGGCAAGAGCAAGAAAAGAATAAGAAACAGAGTTGCTGTAAATAGTATTAAAACAAGATGGCCAGATTGTTAAAAGTCGAAAAAACGTCAAAGTTTTGAAATTTATTAGAAAAATTGATTTAATTTGGAAATGAAATTATGTATAGTTAGTTAGTTAGTTAGTTAGTTAGTTAGTTAGTAAGTTAGTTAGTAGTTAGTTAGTTAGTTAGTTAGTTAGTTAGTTAGTTCGTTAGTTAGTATTAGGTAGTTAGTTAGTTAGTTAGTTAGTTAGTTAGTTAGTTAGTTAGTTAGTTAGTAGTTAGTTAGTTAGTTAGTTAGTAGTTAGTAGTTAGTTAGTTAGTTAGTTAGTTAGTTAGTTAGTTAGTTAGTTAGTTAGTTAGTTAGTTAGTTAGTTAGTTAGTTAGTTAGTTAGTTAGTTAGTTAGTTAGTTAGTTAGTTAGTTAGTTAGTTAGTTAGTTAGTTAGTTAGTTAGTTAGTTAGTTAGTTAGTTAGTAGTTAGTTAGTTAGTTAGTTAGTTAGTTAGTTAGTTAGTTAGTTAGTTAGTTAGTTAGTTAGTTAGTTAGTTAGTTAGTTAGTAGTTAGTTAGTTAGTTAGTTAGTTAGTTAGTTAGTTAGTTAGTTAGTTAGTTAGTTAGTTAGTTAGTTAGTTAGTTAGTTAGTTAGTTAGTTAGTTAGTTAGTTAGTTAGTTAGTTAGTTAGTTAGTTAGTTAGTTAGTTAGTTAGTTAGTTAGTTAGTTAGTTAGTAGTTAGTTAGTTAGTTAGTTAGTTAGTTAGTTAGTTAGTTAGTTAGTTAGTAGTTAGTTAGTTAGTTAGTTAGTAGTAGTTAGTTAGTTAGTTAGTTAGTTAGTAGTTAGTAGTTAGTTAGTTAGTTAGTTAGTTAGTTAGTTAGTTAGTTAGTTAGTTAGTTAGTTAGTAGTAGTTAGTTAGTTAGTTAGTTAGTTAGTTAGTTAGTTAGTTAGTTAGTTAGTAGTTAGTTAGTTAGTTCGTTAGTTAGTTAGTTAGTTAGTTAGTTAGTTAGTTAGTAGTTAGTTAGTTAGTTAGTAGTTAGTTAGTTAGTTAGTTAGTTAGTTAGTTAGTTAGTTAGTTAGTAGTTAGTTAGTTAGGTAGTTAGTTAGTTAGTTAGTTTAGTTAGTTAGTTGGTTAGTTAGTTAGTTAGTTAGTTAGTTAGTTAGTTAGTTAGTTAGTTAGTTAGTTAGTTAGTTAGTTAGTTAGTTAGTTAGTTAGTTAGTTAGTTAGTTGGTAGTTAGTTAGTTAGCTAGGTCCGAAATTATCACATTGAAGATAGAAAAATAAACAGAGTTGTATTACAACAAGGTGGCCAGACTGTTGTAACTTAAATAAATGTTCATTTTAAAAATTTATATAGAAAAATTCTTTTATTTTCCTATTTCAGTTGATAGACTACGTCGCACTTGGGAAAATCTTCGCGATCAATATCGACGTGATTTAAAGCGTGAAGTACGCTATGGTTTTAAATCGAAATGGCGTTTTTTTCTCCGATATGGATTTCATTCGCGATATGGTGTCCTGTAAAGAACATGAATTTAAGGAAAATGAATTTACCGATTCCGATTCAGAGCTAGATGTTACCGATAATCAGAATCATGGTGTTCAAACACAATGTAGTCCCATTAGCACTACACTAGTAGCTCCTACTACCACTCAAACCATAACCACACCAACTAATTCAACTATTTCAAATAATACCAGTAGCCCTACAAATGTTTTACCATTTCAACCTATAATGCTAAGCAAACAATGGCAGGTTTCAGTGCCACAACCAGAAGAGATGCCACAAATATATAATCCTACACCAGTGGCCATCTATACAACACATAACGCTCCACCAGCACCAGCCACCTTGGAACCCATAAATTATCAGACAAATTGTGACTCCTCCAAAGACTGCCAACAGCCTAATAATGAATCCAGCTTAAACTATGAAACTGTAGCCAAACAAGAACCAGATTTAGATCTCGAATTAGACAATAATCCCCCAGCCATAGAAATCCAAGACACTACACCTGAAAAGTCCAATGAAAGCTCAAATGCTAGAGAGTTTCAAGAACCCAGTGTTTCCACATCTTGCCACAAAAGATCTCGTTTGTCCGTAGAAGAAATTTCGGATACACCACTGGCTAGCACTTCACGTTCTCAAATAAAAACGGAAACCGATCTTAATGCTAAAGACGATGATTACTATTTTGTCATGAGTCTCTTGCCATCGTTAAGACAGATTCCCCGTAATCGTAAATTTCCCTTAAGGATTGGTATTATGAGTTTAATAGCCAAGGATTTGGAAGAAGTATGCAAGGAGTAAGCGGGGGAAAGTCTTGATATTTTGTGATAAAAATACTTTAGTTGTAAACGAATGTTGTAACGAATATTTTATTTAATAAAATTAATTCAAAATTAATGATTTGTTTAAATTTACTAGAAGGGATATCGAGTTTAAGAATAACGTCGTTCGTGCAAAGGATTCGTATAGAAAAGTTCAGGCGGTATATAGGTGGATAAAGTTTTCATATAGAACGTATTAACCGGATAAAGTTTTATTTAAAGAAAAGTTTATGCGGGTAGAGTTTTCTTATAGAGAAGTTTTATCCGAACAAAGTTTTCTTATATGTATAAAAGTTTATCTGGATAGAGTTTTCTTATAGAAAAGCATATCTGAACGGAGTTTTCCTATAAAAAGCTTATCCGGACAGAATTCTTTTATACGATGAGAGTTTTCTTATAGATAAGTTTATCTGTATAGGGTTTTCTTACAGAAAAATTTGTCCGTAGAGAGTTTTTTTTATAGAAAAGCTTATCCGGATAAAGATTTTCTATAGAAATGTTTATCCGGATAAAGTTTTTCTATAGAAAAGTTAATCCGGATATAGTTTTCCTATAGAAAAGTTTATCCGGATAAAGTTTTTCTATAAAAAAGTTTATCAGGATAAAGTTTTTCTATAGAAAAGATTATCCGGATAAAGTTTTTCTACAGAAAAGTTTATCCGGATAAAGTTTTTTTATAGAAAAGTTTATGCGGATAAAGTTTTTCTATGGAAAGGTTTATCCGGATGAAGTTTCTCTATAGAAATGCGGATAAAGTTTTTTTATAGAAAAGTTTAGAGGAAATATAAAAAACTTAAAGTTTTTGTATGGAAATCTTAAATTGAATGAAAATTTTATATAAAAAATTTTACCGTTTAAAGTTAACGCCTGGAAAATTTCATCTTTTTAAAGTTCTTCTAAGAAAAATGTTTCCCCAAACTATTTTATTATATTGTAAATTATAATTTGAATACCTTCCTTATTAAATTAGGTATTTTTATTGAATTCTTAATAATTTCTAATCATTTTAATTTGTTTAACCATTTCCATTTCGCCCCAAAAACACCTTTGAACCTTGAGCAATTTGTTATTCATCATTGATTTTCCCAGAGCTCTTATTTAAACTAATTAAAATTCAATTCACACAAATGTTAGAGAGAACTACTACAACCCAAATCAAATAATGACCAGAAATCCCCTTAGTGCGTTTAAAATATTTTTTATGGCACTTCCACCAGCAATTTAGGGGAACAAATAAGGAATCCAAAAAATAAACAAAGCAGCAGCCCCTGAGCAATTTTTGAACATCCTTCAGGACAATAAAGAAAACATACTAAACAAAAATGCAAAAATATTTCTCATCAAAAAAGTCATAATGAATGTTAATGAACTTTAATAAGAAAGAAGAAAAACAGAGCATAAAGGTTTTTGGTTTTTTTTCCCGAAAAAAAGGACAATGAACGTTAAAAAAAGGAGGTTAATATTCTTAAGGAATAACTAACGAACTTTACTGACAAACTGACTAATACAGACAGTTTGTTGTTGTCCTGTTAAAATGGCAAAAATGGGTCATTGTTTAAAAGACTAACAAAATATTTTCCTAGACACCTAACAAAGGCCATAGCACCCAGGAGGGGGTGTGTGAACAAGTTAATAAAAATGTTTTTATTGTTGCCACTGAAAATATCCTGTCATCGTCATAATGTCCGCAACAAAAGTATCCTTTTAAATAACTGTGCATGTCAATAATTTGTCGGGTGTTAAAACAGGTTAAAGCACCCATAAACATATTTCCACATGCTCTGTTTGTTCATAAACAATTTTTAGGGAATTTTGACCTTTTTATTGACTTTGTTTTTTTTTGTTTTCTGATTATTGCACACAAAAAACCAATTGCTACTGGTTTCTTGGTGTCTATTTAAGGCGTTTTATGGTTGGGCGTTCATTTTGTTCCTGTATTTAATGTAAGAAGTCACAACACAAAGGATTTCTAAGGATACAAATTGTGTTGTTATGTTTTGAAATTTATGACTCATGAAAACATGCCAAAAGTTATTGCAAAAGGGACAAGGATTAGTACAGTGTATGTGTGTGTAATTTTAAAATTATTATTTGAACCTATAAATTATTTTTAGATGATTCATTCATATTAAAGGCTCCTCAAAGGACAGAGGGAATGACACATCACAATGAAAGGTGCCTATAAAGGTGAAAGAGGATTAGTCATAACAATGACAATAAACAGGGCATAGAGGAAGAACAATAAAATGCAGGAAATTATAGAATAGAACTAGAACTGAACTAGAACAGAACTTGAAGAGAACTGGAACTAGATAAGAACTAGAACATAACTTGAAGAGAACTAGAACTAGATAAGAACTAGAACAGAACTAGAACAGAACTAGAACAGAACTAGAACATAACTAGAACAGAACTAGAACAGAACTAGAACGGAACTAGAACAGAACTAGAACAGAACTAGAACAGAACTAGAACAGAACTAGAACAGAACTAGAACAGAACTAGAACAGAACTAGAACAGAACTAGAACAGAACTAGAACAGAACTAGAACAGAACTAGAACAGAACTAGAACAGAACTAGAACAGAACTAGAACAGAACTAGAACAGAACTAGAACAGAACTAGAACAGAACTAGAACAGAACTAGAACAGAACTAGAACAGAACTAGAACAGAACTAGAACAGAACTAGAACAGAACTAGAACAGAACTAGAACAGAACTAGAACAGAACTAGAACAGAACTAGAACGTAACTGGAACGGAATTGGAACGGAACTAGAACAGAACTGGAACGGAACTAGAACAGAACTAGAACAGAACTAGAACAGAACTAGAACAGAACTAGAACAGAACTAGAACAGAACTAGAACAGAACTAAAACAGAACTAGAACAGAACTAGAACAGAACTAGAACAGAACTAGAACAGAACTAGAACAGAACTAGAACAGAACTAGAACAGAACTAGAACAGAACTAGAACAGAACTAGAACAGAACTAGAACAGAACTAGACTAGAACAGAACTAGAACAGAACTAGAACAGAACTAGAACAGAACTAGAACATGCTTGTAAAAGCCCTTAAACAATTCGTTGCATTGATTATCACATTGTTATTCAGAAACCTTCATATCTTGAAGCACCTTCAGTTTTTTTTTTCAAAATCACTCCACAGACCTCCAAAATCTACTTCACGCATTTAGTGAATCCTTTTTAAACGCACAAAAAATCCATTAACCAAAACAACCTTCTGCCACAAAACAATCATCAACTTCAGCAGCAACCCTATAATCATTCGCCAGCCATGTCCTTTCAAAGAGACCGGCCTTTAAACAAAAACATTAAATATTTGTACTTAAAACCGAAAAAATCTAGCAAAACGAGGGAAAACATTTTAAAATACAACATTTTCAAAGACAAAAATTGACATTGCATCAGACGACACTGAAAATGTGTGAACACACGTGCATGATGTAGCAAGTACAAGGTAGAACATAAGAAGCCAAGGATAACCGACTGTCGTCTAAATACAACATTCTACAGCAGACATGATGCAAATCCTTGCAACACATACACATACTCAGTACAAGGGCAAGGACACTTAAGCATGCGCATGTGACAAGGTAAATGACTTTAAAGAATATTTTTGCGGATAGTAAGAGAGTAAACTCCCGCTCTCTTTTAATGTTAGCAAATTTTGTTCGAAAATCCGGCCGGTTATTTTAGTATTTTAGCGTTTGGTTTTGTATTTTTATTAAAATAATAAAAATAAATTAAACCTTGTTGAACTATATTTAATGTCAAAGGACCTTCATGACTCCCCTCTGGCTTAAAGATTTAGAGGTCTTTCAGTTTTTTTTCTTTAAGGTTAAGTGTACGTCTATAAACGGCGAAAGACATTGGAAAGGATAAATATTTAAATTAATAATAAATATAGATTGTTGAGTAGTAAAGACAAAAGCGTGTCAGGGTTTGATAAATAAACATTTTTAAAAGGTTTTGTAGAAAACTTAATCAGATAAAGATTTTTTGTGAAAAATTGAATTTTTAGTGAAAAATAAGTAACTAGAACTAAACTGGAATTGAATTAGAACTGAACTAGAACCGAACTACAACTGAACTAGAACTGAACTAGAACTGAACTAGAACCGAACTAGAACTGAACTAGAACTAGAACTGAACTAGAACTGAACTAGAACTGAACTAGAACTGAACTAGAACTGAACTAGAACTGAACTAGAACTGAACTAGAACTGAACTAGAACTGAACTAGAACTGAACTAGAACTGAACTAGAACTGAACTAGAACTGAACTAGAACTGAACTAGAATTGAACTAGAACTGAACTAGAACTGAACTAGAACTGAACTAGAACTGAACTAGAACTGAACTAGAACTGAACTAGAACTGAACTAGAACTGAACTAGAACTGAACTAGAACTGAACTAGAACTGAACTAGAACTGAACTAGAACTGAACTAGAACTGAACTAGAACTAGAACTGAACTGAACTAGAACTGAACTAGAACTGAACTAGAACTGAACTGGAACTGAACTAGAACTGAACTAGAACTGAACTAGAACTGAACTAGAACTGAACTAGAACTGAACTAGAACTGAACTAGAACTGAACTAGAACTGAACTAGAACTGAACTAGAACTGAACTAGAACTGAACTAGAACTGAACTAGAACTGAACTAGAACTGAACTAGAACTGAACTAGAACTGAACTAGAACTGAACTAGAACTGAACTAGAACTAAACTAGAACTTAACTAGAACTTAACTAGAACTGAACTAGAACTTGAGAAAAAATCAGTTGAACTTTCAGTAGACTTCCTGGAAAAGAAACTTTCCCCCTCTTTAAATATTACTTAGTAACTAACAATCAGTTAATTTATCTAAATTATATTTTAGTTTATAATAGCAACATAATAAACTAAATTACTTTAACATAACAACCGTGTCTAACTAACTGCAAAAAAGTACGTCGAAAGTATTTAACAAAAAAAAACTTGTAAATTATAAAGACAAGGGGTGTTTTACAAACAAAGTTTCAGTAAGTCCCTTTA